CATCATTATTCAATGGTATCCATAATGTAAAGAAGTGATTGAAATCAGTAGGAAGAATCGACAAAATAAGCCCAGTAGAAATTCTTAACATTTGCTGAAAATAAAGCCAAAAATGTGAAAAAAATGAGGAAAAAATGTTAAAAGCCAAAAAATGCACACACACACACACATACACACACACACACACAATATGTGAATTGTTTATGCTCTGCAAGGAACTCTGTACTGGGGAATAAAACAAAACCTTGGTCCTCTAAGTTAGATGAAAGATTAATTTTCTTCTAGTAAAAACCCATTTTCTTAAAGAAAATGGAAAAATCCCAGAAGTGATATAAAACTGTATAGCAAATATTCACAAACTAATTAATTTGCAAACAAGTTATTTCATTGCCATTGATTTGAAATTGTCCTACTAGGGAAATCACATGAGGTTCAATAGACTAAAATCTCTTCCAGGGAGAGGGAGAGAGACTTTTATGAGTACCCATGAATATCCACACTATTTCCCAGCCTTCAGCTGCTGTGCAAAGCCCTTTGGGCACGCAGATAAGATGCTCCCTTCCCTGAACTCATTTACATGCAAGGCTCCAGCTCTCATCTCTACTCCAGTGATCCACAGCTTTCTCTCAATCCCACCCCACCCCTTGACCCCAGGGAACATTTTCAATTTCCTTTTGACATCTCTATTTGGAAATCTTATACATCAAGAATAACAGTTACAAACTAAATTCATTATTCACTCACAAACCCAAACCTCATCCTTTAAGAGAGTCACTAGTCTGACTTTCAGAACCTCAGAGTCTTCCCCATTTCTTCCTCCCTGACTCTCCCGATCCACTTGGTCACCAAGTCCAGTTGACTAGCTCAAGGGTATCTCTTGAATTAATCTTCTTCCTCCACCCCCATGGCCAATCCAGATCTTTTCATGTCTTCCCTCATCTGTGAGAGCCTCTTCTTGACTGTCCTTTTCGACAGCAGTCTCTCCCATCTGAGTCCCTCCTCCAGGTTGCTCCCAAAATTGTGTTTCTAGAAACTCTCCAACTTGAAGCTTCCATTACATTTTTGCTTATGAGGTTAAAAATCAACTTGTTTTTGTCATGGCACAAAATCCTTTGACAATCTTATAGGTCATATATTCAAGCCATATCGAATTTTTTTTACCATTCTTTTTACATTGTTACTTTTGTTGCCATCTATTAGAATATCTTATTACCCCTTTATTTACCTAGAAACCCCCACTATTCTTTAAGAACTATTTTGAGTAGGTCCCTGAGATCAACTCCCCAACCCCAGACAAAGATTCCTATCTTTATCCTCTCGATAGTATTTTGCTTACACCAATATATTTATAATTCATATATGTGTAGAGCATAATCATTCTATCTTTCTCATTTAACCACAAGCTTCACAAGAATAAGGACTGCATCATGGTCCTCTAAATAATCCCAGGACCTGGAACATATTAGAAACTCAATAATATTAAATAAATGAATACATAGAAGAATACAGAGGTTGAGCATCATTGCTACATGTCCTGCAACAGGCTGAAGAAAAGAGCCAGAGTGGCGGGCAAGACCTTATTCACTAGATATTGAAGAATACTTGTTTCCCAGTCCGAAAACAAAGACCCATACTGAATGATTCCTAGCCAATGCTCTGAAGCGCAATAGGTCTGGAAATAATAGAAATATCTAAGCTTTCAAAAGCTTCCAAAACTAATACCAACAATAACTTATAAGCATGGAGTGCTTCCTCTGCATTGGGTCCTGTGTTAAATGCATTACATGTAATATATCATTCGGCGGTCATTATAACACTTGCAGTCAGATTTTCTATTTTTCCCCCTGTTTTACAGATGAAGAAACTGTGGTTTTGAATTACTGGCCCAAGGTTATAGAGACAATAAGTGGTAGAGCCAAAGTTTGGACTTAGACAATCTGCGGCTAGAGTCCACACTCTTAAAGAGCCACTAAGTTCATTAGGATAGATTTGGAAGGCATTTTAAGATATTTCTTTTCCTTTAAGATGTGTTGGGTATACAATAGTCCCAAATATTTAAAGTAGTCACATTAATATCACATATGAAAGTACATGTGCTTAGCACATTGAACCTGCAACAAAGTCTGGGTCTTTGCTCTGAAAGGGTCTAAATCCTTAATGATTATTCTGTGATTTACCTGCCTATTGAAATATAAAAATATGGATTCACATATACAAAAAATTTTCATAATTACATAAGTACAAACAGATACTACTATGATATTTTTGCTTTAGACCTAGATAATACAAAATGAAAAGAACGTTCATTGTGAGTTCAGTGGAGGTGCTGTGGTTGTTTTTCATGAATTGATTTTTTTTAGTGCTGAGCCATAGGAGAATATAAATGTCATCTGCTAAAAGTTTTATTTCACAAATTCAAAAATGTTACATTTACCATATTTTGCTGCATATAATGTGCACCCATGTTTTTGTGCACATTATTCACAGGATTATTATACCCATGGTATGTAGTCATTATACCCATATATAATACGCATCCTTACTTTTCCCTCAAAAATTCAGGCAAAAAAGTATGCATTATACAGGGCAAAATGTGTATATAATGCACAAATACTGTATTTAATTGCTTATTGAAAGTGCCATGTGCATGTTACATCAACAGCTCAGACAAACGAGATCCCATCAGAGCTAGTGGTTTACTGAATCAAGGCTCTCCAGTCTGTCTCTCTCTTCTTTTCAATATAAAAGTTAGAAGGGACATTCAAGTTTCAAGTCTCCACACTGAACTTAAAAAAAGTCATCATTATCATGTGGAGGTAAACAAGCCAAGTTGTACAACTCCAGTAGGCAGAGGCCTCTGATTTGTATTCACATATACAGATGTATAGAAGAATTCAGTGTTCCAACAGAAAAAGATTTTATCAAAAATTTTTTTTAAAAAGTAATGTTATTTACTACTGTGACATTTCAAGACTCCCACAGTTGTGCCTAAGGACACAAATATGTTTGACACAATTTACCACATGCCTGTATCTGTGACTTTAAATTTGTTTTTGTCTTTTATTTATTTGCATTGTCCAGTGCAAGAAAGGACTCATAAAATTTCATAGACCTAAAATGTGCAAGCTTGTTCTCTCTATATACAGCAATGGGGGGATTTTGCTTTCATTCTCAGCCTCACTTTGCACATTCCTTCAGTGTATCCCTTCTCCACTCAGGCACGTCTGTCTACTTCCGGTGTCCTGGCCTTACTTTATTTCTTCCTACCATAGATGCTTTGCACTTACTCTTTTCATGGTATGGAATATAATTCCCTACCCTCACACCATTCTCCCCATTTAATCCTACTTGTCTTTCAAATAGCAGTTCAAGTGCCACTTTCATAGGAGAGACTTCAATGAACTACACTTCCCAACCTCCCTGCACTGCCACACCCACACAGTATAGATAGGCTTCTTTATTACAATCTATGATAGAACTGAGTTCTATTTGTAATTATCATTAATTCTTGTAATTATTTTACTAATGTCTCTCTCCCAGCCACTCAGTTGGCCTGATGAGAGCAGGGAAGTAATCTTGTTTGGCTCATAGCATACTTACAGCTGCTAGCACAGTACTTTCTGCATGGTAAGTACTTGGTGCTATGTGAAAAACTGGATGAGTGAATGAATGAATGAATTAGTAAATATTAATTCTGAAGCTATTCATTTGTTGTATATGCTGCTAAAGGATTCCATTGGGCCCTGGCTGATGTAGCTCAGTGGATTGAGCTCGGCCCTGCGAATCAAAGGGTTGCTGGTTTGACTCCCAGTCAGAGCATATGCCTAGGTTGTGGGCCAGGTTCCCAGTAGGGGGCCCTCGAGAGGCAATCACACATTGATGTCTCTCTCCCTCTCTTTCTCCTTTCCTTCCCCCCTCTCTAAAAATAAATAAAATCTTTTTTAAAGAAAGGATTCCATTGGGTTATAGAAAAAATATAGACAAGCAAGTTGTCCTAAACTGACCTTGGGACTTATAAGTAGACCTTAATTCCATATTTCTCATCATTCTTTACTTAAGAGCATCTGAGCCACCTTGAGCCACCACAAGATCAAACATTTGACCAGTCTGCTTTAGTTTTTTTATTTTTGGGGAAAAAAGTCATATTTCTTTGTAACACTAAAATATTTATTTCTAGATAAGATTATGCCTACCACAAGTCCTGACTTCACTTTTAGTGTTAATAGAACTCCCCAATTTAATATAATTGAACTTTTCTTTTCCCAACCTCAAGAACAAGGCTCAGAGTTTAGGATAAAATAAATGTAATACTAAATAAAATGTATAGGGTAAGAAGTAGTAGAAACATATATTAACTTAGTTGTAGGTAGCATTATTTAAATTGTTCAAATAGAATCCGATATATACCATCTAAGAGAAAGAAGTGAGGGCTTCAAAATGATTTTTTAAATGTCTAACAAGGGCTGGGGAATGTTTTTATTTCATCTACTACTCCTTGACCTTTTAGAGGGACACTTTGAGCCAAAAACAGTATTTGGAAGCCTGGGCATTTCTGACAACAGACCACCCAGATAAGATTAAAATCAAAATCCTTTTTTTCAAAGTCCTTCCATTTCATTTCTCCTCCAGAAATAATTCCCAGCCCAACGCCAGGACTTGTAGTTTTCATTCTGTTGACACAAGCCCTTTTGCCTTTCATCTTTCTCGGAGAACAGTAAGCCACTCATCTACTTTATCCATTAAAAGGTAACTCCAAGCAGGTAATTTAAAATTTTAATTGTCTGATGAAACATTTTTTTTATCTTAAAACATGATATCAAAGGAAGCAATACAAACTCAATGCCTTCGACAGTCAGCCATCCATGCACGTGGGCACTTCTGCAATTGTTCTGACTTTCAAAAAGATACTCTTCCTATTTGGTGCCTAAATTTTCTGCCTTTGATTTTCTTGCTGTTCACTTGAATTAAACTTAATAAGAAATATTCAATAGGCCACTTACCTGTTAGAACTTCAACTTGGAAGCAGAAGAGAAAGAAATACCAAAGGTCAGACTTCATCTTTGCCAAGGACAGGTAAAATGTTCTCCTTCAGTGTTTAAAAAAAAATGACAGCAAATTCATCCTCTCAAGTGTTTTCTATTTGCTGGAAAGGAAGTGGTTTTGTGGGGGTTGATGTAACATGAGTGCAAGGAAGTGTTTTTTAATTGATGACAGTGGTTATACAAGAAGCATTACTGCTAAAGGGGGCTGAGCGTAATCCATGGATTGTTGATGATTTTGAAGACAGAGAAGAACTTTACCCTCAGTCTGGTTCCAATAAAACAAGTGAAAGAGACAACACCTATTCTCTTCAAAACCACCCTACTTTTTTGAATCAATAGTTATTGGGGATAACAGGATATAAAAATAGCCACATGATGAATAACATATTCTGACACATTTCTGTCTTATGCTATTTGCGTGAGAGGAAGAAAGCCTTTGAAATAGGACAAGAAATAAGTGAAATTATTACAGAAATTGAAATGAAGATATCTGAAAGAGGAGCAATGCAGTAATCTGAGAAATAATATTTGCATGGAATTCATTGTTCATTTTCCAAATGATGGAGTCAGTTTTAATGTAACTTAAGCTCTGCTGTACATATTATAGAAGAGTCTGTAGAAACCAGGAATTCTACCTCTATAACCTCAGATGAAAGCAGGAAAATTGAAAAGCCTACTCATGATTTCTCTGTCCCTATAGGGAAATAGAGTAAATAATAACAAGAGTAATAATAGTATAAATAATTATATTTATGTATACACAAATGTTTTATATGAAATAATACATAAAATTTATAAAATTAAATGCAAAATAGCGTATAATATATTTAATATGTATAAAATATAATGTGAATATAGTCAATATTTTTATATTGTTTCACATGTATTCCAGTGTAATAGTTATATCTATACATACACATTTATGTTATGTTTTATACATGCATTAATCTGTTTAATCCTCTTAACAATCCTATGAGATGGAAACTACTAATCACCCATTTTACCCATAAGAAAAACTAAGGCACAGAGTGTAAAGTACTTGGCCCAAGTTATATGATATGTAAGTGGCAGGAATGGGATGTGGAGAGTCCAGCTCCAGAGTCCTCCCTCTTAACTAAGCAGGTAGAACCATTAGTGCCAAAGGTTCTGAGAATACCCTCCAGAAGTCTGAACCAGCTTCCAGGAGGCTGAGTTTCTAAGGAGTGACAGACAGGGCAGGACTGACTCTCAGCCTTCGGAAGTGACATCCAGGTGAGCAATTGAAATCAGTTGGGCAGGGCCACGAAGGTTTCAGTCCAAAATATCCAGACTCTAAAGTAGAATACAGGTTTCAGGCTACAGACAGCAATTAGGGATACTGGACCAGAGTCAAGGGGTTCCAAAGGAAAGGTAGGAGGCTGATTCAGCAGTGATTTCCCTAAGGGGATGAGGTTTTCCCTGGTACAATTTTGGGGGTTTCATGGGCCTCATTAGTGGATAGGAAAGAAGATATTTGAGGTGTTGAGCTATCCCAAGCAGTAAAGATTGGGCTACCAGGAGACCTAGGAACCTGCTACCCTGATTTCTTCCTTTCCCTTCCACTATGTCTCCTGGACAGTATCAAGAGAAAATTCTTCTGGATGCATTGCCATTGCATCAGAGTCCTTTTCCAGCAAAAATATGGGCAGTGGAGAACAACTGACTTCTTCTAAACTTTTTGTGACCTAGAGCTGGAACTAAATACACTATGTAGAGCTTTTACTTTATTTGATAAAAGCTGACACAAATTCTAAAGCTCAGCTGAAGTCATGTGGAGGAATATAGGGTGGCCCCCAAATAACAAATGTCCATTGAGCACATACTGTGTGCCAGACACTGTGCTTCCCATGAATTATCTCATTCAGTTCTCACAGCTACTCTGTGAGGTAGAGCTCATGATCATTCCCACTTTACAGATGAGGAAACTGGTAGTTAAAGACATTAAGCAACTTGCCCAGGATCACGCAGCCAATAAGTGATTGAGCCAGGTCAGACCCAAAAAAGGAAACTCTGAATTCCACACTTAATTACCACACTACATTCTCATGTTAGTCTTTATTTATATAGCCAGAAACATGACTTTTGGCCTCCTATTTTGGTGGAACAAGGATACCCTTAGGTACTAGACAAAGTTCCAAAACTTTTGAATGCAACAAAAGATTTCCTAATAAAATTTAAATGTGATGTTATTATCTCAAGAGGAGAAAAATTACGTGACAATGAATACAATTACTTATGGTTTTAAATATTCAGAATTACTTTTCCTATGCTTGTACAATAAACTGGGCAAAAATTTCCATTTACCACACAGGAAGCACTCTTGTTTGCTTTTATGTTATTTTTTTTTTCATTCCATGACTTAAGAAGGTTTTGATTTGTGTGTACAGATGTCTGGGGCAAAGGTGGGGAATGGAAAGTCTGTTACATTAAAAGCAAAATGTTTATTATTACTTGTCTTTACTTGTCTTGTGGGCATGAAAGTTCACAATGTTTGTGTGCTTGCTTTTCTGAATTTCCGCACACAAAGGCCACTGAGTCCAAACAATAGTGTTGAAAAGCACCCCCAAAGTATCACCTAAACTTGGCTCACCAATTTGAATGAGAAGGCTTGTTCCTGATCAAAACTGTTTCTCCCAGTTCATTTCCTGTATTGTTGAGTGGCAACTCCATCCACTCATTTAGGCAGGAATCTGTGAGTCAGCCTTCTCTGCTCTCCGCTATTCACTAGACTTCTTGCACTCTGCCACGTACTCTTCTCTCTCTCTTGCCAGGGTCACTGGGTCAGATCAGGCCTCCAGCATCTCCCTCCTGGCCTTTCTGTCCCTACTCTTGTCCTATTTCAATCTGCCTCCACACCACAACCAGAGTAAGAAATCTTTTTAAAATGTAAATCTAATTAATCAGTGCTCCGCTGCTAAGCTTCCTGTCAGTCTAAGATAAGTCCCAAACTCTTTTTAAGCCCTTTTACCATAGGCCTCCTATTCAGCCTCATCTCTTGACACATTTGTTACTTTTCCCCCTGCACTGAAAATGTCAGCCATATTGAATGACGCAGTGTTCTCCAAATTCCCCGAACCCACGCTTCCTCCTACTGCCAGGAGCCTTCTTCTTGTCCCCACCCCCTTCCTCACCACCCAGCCTCTTGTCTTCTGCAAAAATCCTATCGTTCTTCAGATCTTTGCTTACATGCCCATCAGTTCATTAAAAATTTCTTTTCTGATCCATTCACTACCAACCACTTCCATATCTAGTGTCCAGTAGGTAGCTTTTCTGCATCCTCCTAAAGCTCATCTGTGTTCCTCATTCTAAACCTCATCATGCTACTGTAATGGCCTGTTTGCTCTCTCACAGGCCTTACTGCACTGTGAGCACCATCAGAACAAAGACTGAAGATACCTTCTTTGCAGCCATATCTGCAATTCCCAACACAGTGCCCAGGGCATAGTAGGTGCTCCATAACTGTTTCTCAAATGAATGACTATTTGAAGAACCCTTGACTTTTGAAGGAACTATATTACCTCAGGAACAATGACCAACCAGCACTTTGCTATTTGAATCATAATGCATGATGTGAGTACAGAAAACTAACATGCTTTTGTATATCACATTGAAATTAATTCAATAAAAATAACAATTAATCATCTTCATTTATCTTTTATCATTTGTCCATCCTAATCTTCAAATAAAAGGACATTCTATTTTAACAGCCAAGTCCCATTTACTCATTTAAAAGTTATTAATTAATCCATAAATCCCAGAAAAATAATTGCACATTTCCATGAATGATGAATAAATCACAGTGCATAATATGACTGTAAAGTAATATGATCAATATTTTTAACATAAATATCCCAACTTAGTCTTGTTGGCAGCAAAGCTTTCATTCTGACAACAGTGCTGTGGCTTAAAACATCATAAAGCACCTCCCTGGACCCCAGTTTCTCCAGCCTCTCCAGACTTCGGGACCCCTCAGTCCTATTGTTTGTTCCTAGATTGCCTTCCTATGACTCCTTCCCTTTGTTTATAAAAATGATATAATTTCTCCAATCACTGACACATACAAACACATTTCCTCAGATCCCATACCCCTGCCATCTACATTTCTCTCTTCTTTCTTAGAAAAGACAAGTCCACACTCAGTCTCTACCCCTCAGTGCTTCCTAGATGCTTCTCAACCCACTGTAAATGGGTTTCTGTCTCTCTCATCCCACTGAACTTTCTTTCCCAAAGCCTACTCATGAACTCCACATTGCCAATTCCAGCCAACTTTCTACATCTTCTCCTTCCTTGACCTCTGTGAATCATTTGATGCTTATACTTACTTTATATTGATGTTATAATTTACCTTGAAATAGTACCACCCATTTCTGACTGAGTTACCAGAACTAAGGGCCATACTGCTTACTTTAGGTTGCTTTGCCTGCCTCTACTGTGGTTTATCCTGTGTTAAATTTAAAATCTAAGTTTCCAAATAAAATATTTATTCTCTTAATTTCAAACAACACTTCACTGAGCCCCTCTGTGGTCCCCATATGTGGTCAGAATCACTGCTATCTTCTTTATAGCTCCCATCTCTCTGGCCTCTTCCAGCTTGAGTTTTTCTGCCAGTTATCATTTCTCTCTTCTCCTAAATGTGGATGTTGATATTCCCCAGAATGTGAGCTTCAGTCCTTGGCTTTCCTCATTCTATCTACTCCTCCTCAGCGATCAAGCACATAAAATACCAACACCATTTTTCTTCTGTAACTCTCAAGCTGATTCTGAAAGCTATTTAAAAAATGTTTTGAACCATAATAATATGTTAAAATGAGTACATAATCCTTCCAAAAGACTAAAACTGAAAAAGGACTCACAACCTCTTATACATACATGGGCCAGGAAGATAGAAGCAATTGAAAAAAGTAGACCTGGTGTAAGGCAATGGTGAGTGGTGGAAATTGGGGCAAATTAGAGAGCACACAATTTAGGAGAAGCAGTCAATAAGATCCAGTGTACATTGCTGCAAGGGAATGTGAGTCCAATATAGCCATATCTTCTGTTTTTTTTT